GGAGATCGTCCTGATTCTTGAGGGGGTAGGTCGAGCCAATCTAGAGGCCGAGGGACCAATGCTCGGGCACATCTTTCTGACACGGTTAAGCACCACTTTCAGCTTCCGTTGTCTCACTGGTTGTTGATGTTTCTGGGTTGTCTGCCTCAGAGTTTGAGATTGTTCTTCGCCACTTGCTAGACCGTCGAGCCTCTATTACTGTCTTCGGTGCATCCTCTTCTTCCTTTGCCAACTCACGTAACTTGGCTTCATTTACAAGTGCATTGCTATTTCATAAGACTGTTCTTTGGATTATTGATTCAGGTGCTTCCGACCATATGTTTGGTTCCTCTAATTTGTTCTCAGAGTATATACCCTCCTCAGGTTAGGAAAAAGTGCGTATTGCTGACGGTATTATTTCATCTGTGTAAGGGAAAGGTTTAATTCATGTCACCTCTTCCCTTTCTTTATCCTCTGTACTCCATGTTCTCAATTTTAGTGTTAATCTTTTATCTTTGAGTTGTATAACTCGTGATTTGAATTGTAGCGTGACGTTTTTTTCCTAATCATTGTCTTTTTTAGGACCTTATCACGAGAAAGAGGATTGGTAGTGGTAGAGAGGACCACGGTCTCAACATTCTGGATCAGACTGATAAGCTGGCTTATTTATCTATCTAGTTACCATCCACCAAGGAAGACCTTTGGCTGTGGCACCGTCGATTAAGACATCCCTCATTTTTACTCTTAAGCATCTTTTTCTTCTGTTTTTGAGAAAAATAATGTGTCTGATTTTTAGTGAGTCATGTCAACGTGGAAAATAACACGGACTTCTTACACCAAGAGTCAACACCAGTCCCACCCAACCCTCTGACACCCCTTGCCCAGGCCCTCGGCACTCTAGAACAGTCCTCCTAGGCTCCTTGACTACCTATTAGGGTTAGTCGGCAATCTTCTCCATTCAATGGTCAGAATTATCTAGCGTGGCCGCAAAGTCTGACTATTTTTTTGAAGAGCACAGGGAAGATGGGGTATGTTAATGGTAGAATACAGGCACCTAGCACTACGGACCCTAGTTATAATCAGTGGGAAATCACCAATTCTCTCATCATGGGTTGGTTGATCCACTCTATGGTCCGTGAGATTGAAGAGGGCTATTTGGCTATGGACACTGCACAGGACATCCGGGAGGTTGTAGTTACCACTTACTCCCGCAAAGGGAACTTCTCACAGAATTTTGAGTTATGTTGCTCCATTGAAAGGTCGGTATAGGGTGAGATGACTGTTATCCAGTATTTTACCTTTCTTAGCAATGGATGGAAGCGATTTGACCATCTTCAAGATTATAAACTTGTCTGCCCCATGGATTCTGCTGGTTACCGAAAGTTTGTAGAATATGTACGAGTCTTCAAGTTCTTAGAAGGCATGAGTGTGGGGTATGATCCAGTTTGAAGTAGAGTACTTGGTATGGATATGCTTTATTCTCTCCTGGAAGCTTTTCCTTATGTGCAGAATAAGGAGGATCACCGCTCCACGATGCTTGCTTCTCCCACTGTTAATCGTTCTACCTTGGTTTTTGCACCCCTGAAGATGGAGAGCGTATGACTTGTAGTTCTCGTCCTTCCTTTGAGAAGGATGCTCTTTTCTGTGACTACTGTTGTAGACCTCGACACATATGTGAGACTTGTTGGAAGCTGCATGAGACTCCATCTGGTGGTCAAGGAGATCGTCCTGATTCTTGAGGGGGTAGGTCGAGCTAGTCTAGAGGCCGAGGGACCAATGCTCGGGCACATCTTTCTGACACGGTTAAGCACCACTTTCAGCTTCCGTTGTCTCACTGGTTGTTGATGTTTCTGGGTTGTCTGCCTCAGAGTTTGAGATTGTTCTTCGCCACTTGCTAGACCGTCGAGCCTCTATTACTGTCTTCGGTGCATCCTCTTCTTCCTTTGCCAACTTGGCTTCCTTTACAAGTGCATTGCTATTTCATAAAACTGTTCTTTGGATTATTGATTTGGGTGCTTCCGACCATATGTTTGGTTCCTCTAATTTGTTCTCAGAGTATATACCCTCCTTAGGTCAGGAAAAAGTGCGTATTGCTGACGATACTATTTCATCTGTGTAAGGGAAAGGTTTAATTCATGTCACCTGTTCCCTTCCTTTATCCTCTGTACTCTATGTTCCCAATTTTAATGTTAATCTTTTATCTTTGAGTTGTATAACTCGTGATTTGAATTGTAGCGTGATGTTTTTTCCTAATCATTATCTTTTTTAGGACCTTATCACGAGAAAGAGGATTGGTAGTGGTAGAGAGGACCATGGTCTCAACATTCTGGATCAGACTGATAAGCTGGCTTATTTATCTATTTAGTTACCATCCACCAAGGAAGACCTTTGGCTGTGGCACCGTCGCTTAAGACATCCCTCATTTTTACTACTTAAACATCTTTTTCTTCTGTTTTTGAGAAAAATAATGTGTCTGATTTTTAGTGAGTCATGTCAACATGAAAAATAACACAGAGTTTTTTTTGCTCCTTCTATTAATAATAGTTCAGTTCCATTTTCTTTGATTCATTTTGATGTATGGGGTCCCTCATATTTTTGTGTCTTTAAAGGGCAAAAAATGGTTTGTTACTTTCATAGATGACTATTCTAGGGCCACTTAGTTACATTTGATGAAAGACAAGAGTGAGGAGTTTTCTGTGTTTCAAAACTTTCATAGAATGATTTGCGCTCAGTTTGGGGTGGTTGTAAAAATTTTATATTCTGATAATGTGGAGGAATATATTGACTTTGGTCTTGCTAGTTATTTTGTTACTCATGGTATTATTTACCAAACTTCATGCACTAATACCCCTTAACAAAATGGTGTTGCAGAATGAAAAAATCGGCATCTCATTGATGTGGCCCGTTGTCTATCTTTTGAAATGCGTGTCTCTCGCGCATATTGGAGGGCAACGGTTCTCACTGTAGCTTATTTGATTAATCGTCTTTCCACTCAAGTCCTTCAAAAACAAATATCTCTTCAGGTTTTGTTCGGATCCACCTCTTCTGGGTTCTCCATTCCTCCTTAAGTCCTTTGGATTTGTTTATTTTGTCCATAATCATTCACCCACGTGTGGTAAATTGGATCCTAGGTTTTTTAAGTGTGTTTTCCTGGGTTACTCTGCCACTCAAAAGGGTTATAAGTGTTATCATCCTCCATCTTGCAAATGGTTTGTCTCCATGGATGTCACTTTCTTTGAGTCTCAGTCTTACTTTCAAACCTCCCCAATGTTACAGTCATCCCTTCAAGGGAAGCCTTGGTGTGAAGAGATTCATGTTCCATTACCACCAGTGGTTGAACAGATAGAGGATGTTGAGCCAACAATTGTTATGGAAAAGGAAGAAGGAAAAGTTTATGCCAGGGACAAAGATAGACAGAAAGTCATTTGGATGCAAGAGACTATTTTTAATCCTTTACTGCCAACTTCTTCTCTAGATGAGTGTCCAGAGTAATTCCTCTCTCCTAAGAGTCCAGGTAATTCTAATCCTAACGTTTCTATTCTTGAGTTTTCAGATCTTGATGTTCCTATTGCTAATTGGAGGGGGGGTTACGTCATGTACTTAGCATCCTATTTCTAATCATGTCTCATATTCTAATCTGTCTCCCTTATATAAAATCTTTCTTTCTAAGATTTCATTTGTAAGTTTGCCTAACAATTTTTAGGGTGCTCTTTCTATTCCTAAGTGGAAACATGCCATAATGAAGGAAATGAGAGCCCTAAGCAAGAATGGCACTTGGGAGATAGTGGAGTTACTTAGCAGCAAAAATCTAGTTGGTTGTAAGTGGGTGTACACTGTAAAACACAAAGCAGACAGTTCCATAGAACGGTACAAAGCAAGACTGGTTACTAAGGGCTTTACTCAGACTTATGGGGTAAATTATCAGGATACACTTGCACGAGTTACAAAGATGAACTTTGTGAGAATATTGCTATCCCTTGCAGCAAATTTGGATTGGCCACTTCATCAGTTTGATGTGAAGAATGCCTTCTGTCATGGAGATTTAAAAGAAGTCTATATGGATATTTCCCCTGGGTTCAAAGATGCTAGGTCCAAGGGTAAAGTATGCAGGCTCTAGAAGTTATTTTATGGACTAAAGCAATCTCCTAGGATTTGGTTTGAAAGGTTTGCTCAAGCTATGTTGAAATATGGGTTCAAGCAGACTTAGGCTGATCATACCTTATTTGTCAAACACTCATCACTTGGTAAGACTACAACCTTAATTATTTATGTTGATGATATTGTTCTGACAGATGATGACGTTGAAGAAATTCCTCAGTTGAAGGAGTACCTCGTCAAGGAGTTTGAAATCAAGGACTTGGGCACTTTGAAGTACTTTCTGGGTATTGAAGTAGCTATATTCAAGGATGGTATTTTCATATGCCAGAGGAAGTATGTACTTGACTTGCTAAAGGAGACTGGGATGCTTGGAACTAGATCATGTGACACACCTCTAAAATCGAGTCAGAAGCTAAGTGAGGATCAAGGGGGACAGCTAGTGGACAATGGGAGATACCAGAGATTAGTAGGGAAGCTTATATACTTATCCCATTCGCGCCCAGACATTACTATTGCAGTACATATGATTAGCCAGTTTATGCATGCTCCTAAAACTACTCACTTAAAGGCAGTTATGAGGATTTTGAGATACCTGAAATCTTCTCTTGGAAATGGTCTCTATTTCTCAAAACATGGTCATCTTAGTGTGGAGGCTTTTATTGATGCAGATTGCGCTGGATCAGTCATTGATAGACGATCAACTTTTGGGTATCACACATTTGTTGAAGGTAACCTAGTCACTTGGTGTAGTAAGAAACAAAATATGGTTACTAGATCCAGTGCCGAGGCAGAATTCAAGGTTATGGTTCAAGGTGTATGCGAGTTGTTGTGGATTAGATTATTGTTAAGAGACTTGGGGATTCATCAGACTGATTCTATGAGGCTGTAGGTGGCTATCAACATAGCTCATAATCTGGTTCAGCATGACAGCCAAGCACGTTGAGATTGATAGGCACTTCATCAAGGAAAAACTCACTAGTGGCATCATATGCACTCCATTTGTGAAGATTGGTGATCAACTGGCGGATGTTCTTACCAAAGGAATAGGGAATAAACCATTTCATGACATTCTCACCAAGCTGGGTATGAGAAATATCTTCACACTAGCTTGAGAGGGAGTGTTAGAATAGGAAATAATATTGCATATATTTTATTCTTATTTGATTTTATTTTCCCTTGATTGATGTAATGGGCTGGTCCATAATTTATACCTGATAACACTCTTGTAATTACGCATTGTTATCAATATAAAAGGGGATAAGGTCTCACTCATTCCCTAACTCTTTCTCTTCTCTAAAATCTTCAGAGACCGCTGGACCAGAGATCTGGAAAGGCTCAGGTGGGAAAGTTGATGCCTTTGTTTCTGGGATAGGCACAGGTGGTACAATTACAGGTGTTGGGAGGTACCTTAAAGAGCACAACCCTGAGATTAAGGTTAATCTTTTTCATTCTCTGATTTTATTGGAAAAGTAAAGTTTAATGAACTCCTCTCTCTCTCTCTCTCTCTCTCTCGTTAATCTGTGTTCTTTTTCTTGTATTGCTGCTAGTGCCCTTTTTTATTCATATACAGCTATATGGTGTAGAACCAGTTGAAAGTGCAGTTTTAAATAGAGGAAAACCTGGTGAGTTGTGCTTTCCAACATGTCTCCCCATTTTCTATCCTGGTTTGGTGTCAACAATATTCTTGTATTTCTGGTGCATTCTTTCTTCTTTTAGATATTTTGTTGGCTTTGACAAGTTGGAATATATGATTTGGAATGAACTTGTGTTTGGCAATCATCATTAGGCATGGTTGTTACATGTGATTTTGGGAAACAAGCTAGGATTTTGGACATGATAATTTCTAACATCTGGGCACGTAGACACAACTGTGTATTTGGTTATGGATTTACTATGATGAACTTATTTGTTTGTGACTTTGTTTTTGTACACAGAAGAATGATGGAAAACAAAGTTATTACTATGTAACAGGATTGACAAAAATGAAGACCTGGTGTACTATGCTGCTCTGCTAGATAGGTGGACTAGTTCACCTAAGCAGTCTAATTGTTTCAGCAGAGAGTACTTGTCTGTTGGGGGCTTTTCCCCCGCTTCTATTGCGGGGGTTTTGGGTGATTAAACTGTTGTCAAAGTAGTCCTATGATATGCTATGGAATATGTCAATGCAAACATTAGTAATGTTGAATAATGTTTAAAGCTTCATCATAATATACATTTTAAATTAGAAGCATTCACCTAATTAGGTGTGAACCTTAAACTTCAACATTTGACCGACTCAAATTTGAAGAATTAGAATAATCAGATGTACAACTTACAATGTAATATCAAGGGAACGAACTTGAAAGTACAACTTGGAGGTACATTTACAATCAGATGTACAATTATCAAGGAAACGAACTTGAAAGTACAACTTACAATGTAATATATATATATTTTTGCTTAAAATGATTTATCGTTGTTTATATGTTTTGAGGTTTTTTCATTGGCTAGTGTAGGTCGGTTCCCATAGATCAAGGGCTTACCAATTATTGATTGACCAAACTCTCATGATTCTTCTGTGATGATCATAATAAATTGACCAATTAATTGAAAAAAAAAAAGAGTGAATAGATATCAAACTACTTCAAATGGCTTGTCTTACAAACAAATGCCATTTTTCACTACTTGAGAGAGTGATAAGCAGTGGTTATTTTGTGTCTGAATTTTGTTGGTGCTTTTATATATAATGAAGACTTTCAATACTTGTGTTGAGGATCATTACTGCTTCAAAAATAATGTTATCCTTTTTTAAAGTTCAAGTTGCCTAATGATTCGCTTTGTGTGGCAGATGACAAAACATGCTTGGTGTAGCTTGTTCAGTACTGATAGTAACCTTGTGACAAAATCTTTAGGCTCTCTTGTTAAATACTAAACTTACGACACGTTCCTTAGGCTTGACCTAGTTTCAGATTGTCTGTTGCATCTCAACATGTCTAAAATGTATCTAATGACCAGTGATGTCAATGATATGTAAACTATAAAATGTTTGTCTGTTATTTTCTAGCACGATAAGATTTTCACAATTTTCTTTTTCTAAATGTTTAACAGCACTTTTGATGCTATCAAGCTTTATTGGCTTTTTTCATTAGCAAACTCTAATAAATTTTCATGCCAAAATATCTCTCTCTCTCTCTCTCTCTCTCTCTCTCTCTCTCACACACACACACACACACACACACACACACACACAGATACTCCTGTCGTAAAGGGGAGGCTTTAGTGCTCATCTTTGAATGTAGAAAAGGGACTAATTTTCTAGTTTTAATATTGTTGGGAATGTTTTTTATGTTAGACTTGTATCAAAACCATCGATCAACATGCTTTGTAACTAGCCATTGGTCAATGTCATGTGAATATCCTATGACCATTTTTTATACAAAAAATTGTGTGCTGAGTGTCACGAATGACCTGGTATGAATATTTTTCTTTAACATGTTCTGTAAAAGATTTAATTTTCTCATTTGTTGGATAAAAGCAAAGATTGGCTGCTAATTATTCTAGTCTTCTATTGTTGATTTTCTTGTATTAAGTGTAGTGCTTTATCAAAAGGCTGGGGCTGGATCTATACCTAGTCCACCCCTCTGTACACCCTAGATTAATCAAGCAGCACATCTTTCCTTGGGCAAACTTCACTTTACCCTCCTTGTGGTTTGGGCCATGTACTGTTTGTCCCCTAACATTTGGAAATGACCACATAACTACCTTGTGGTTTGTAGATTGAAGTCCACCATTAGGCCCGCTAACGATTTAATGAAAAAGACTAAAATATCTCTATATTTTCATCATTTGTTTGGAAGACAAAGTGCACTTTAACCCCCTATGCTTTATTCCATGTGTGGTTTACTCCCTTAACATTTGAAAATGACCGCATAACCCCCTTGTGGTTTGTGGACTAAAGTGCACCATTAGGCCCGTTGATGATTTAATGAAAAAGACTAAAATACCTCTATATTTTCGTCATTTGTTTAGAAGGCCAAGTGCACTTTAACCCCTATGCTTTATTCTATGTGTGATTTACCCCCTTGAAATTTGAAAATGAGCATATAATCCCTTTATGTTTGCCAAGTTGGATGGAATGTTTAACAGTACACTTTAGTTCACAAACCACATGTGGGTTATGTGGTTATTTCCAAATGTTAGGGGGGTAAACCGCACATGGCCCAAACCACGGGGTAAAGTGAAGTTTGCCCTTTCCTTTTTATTGCTCTCTACATGCTACACCTGCATGCTTTTAAGCACAAGTTCGTAAGAATTGTGCTTGCAACAATGATACAAACAATGCCTAAAAGTGATTCAGTTATGTGAATATTTATGCCAAAAGCAGCACAGTCAGAGATTTCAGAGAATTTGCTTCCTTATTATGGTTTATATTTGGATGGATTTCATGTACAATATGTGATGTCATTTTGCCAATATACTGTTTGTGGTTGTTAACAGGGACTAAGAAAACCTTAAATATGGGTTTTCTTGCATGCAATTTGAAATGCATTGTTGAAAATTCAATGTGGGTATTACTGTCTCATATTCTTGTGCTTGGTTATGAGTTTGGAAATACTGTTGAGTAAAATTTTCCAGCATGAAAAAGAAAATCCATACTTTGTTGATGACATCAAATTCACTGTTGATATATCCGTATTCACTTTAATAATTTGAGCTGCAATTTTATTTTTATTTTTTGTTGGCATCAACATTTGAAACCATGTATGAGAATATCTAACCAACTTATTGCATGTGCAATAGCCATTTATCTACTTTTCGGGTGGCCATCACGGCATTACCTAATACTTAGAATTTCTATAATCGCAAATTTTTGTTAATCTTTGAGCTTTCAAGAAGAGCAATATCTTTGTTTATTTGAACTTGACATATTACATGTTGTAATGTTTGAGGCCCTCATAAAATTCAAGGAATTGGTGCTGGTTTCATCCCTGGCATAATGGATGTCGCTTTAGTTGATGAAGTTGTTCAAGTAAGCCTGAAAAATCTTTCTAACAAGGCAGTCTCATTCATTCAGTAAACATGTGGATGAATCTAATCATGCATCACGCTTTGTGTATCATGAAGAAAAGTAAAGCAAAAAAATAAAGAAAGAAATGATAAAGATGAAGATAATTGATTGGTGGTTATGTGCTTCATTTTATCTGCAGCTTGGCATTTATATAGTCCTCAAAGTGTATAAACCATCACAAATCAGGGTGTCAGGGTAACCCTATGAGAATATTGCCTATATTCGGTTTCTCCTTTTTCCTTTTAGGCTTAGGAATTAGAGTTATATATGAGTTCTATATAAGTGATGTATTCTTTTACGCTTAGGAATTAGAGTTCTATATAAGTGATGTATTATTTGTTTTATTGATTCAGTTTAATATACAGTTTCATTCAGAAAACTTACATGGTATCAGAGCTTGGTTCGAAACCCTAACAGCCATTGTTGAAGCTTTTCTGTTTCATTGAACTCTTTAGTTCAACCTTGTGAATACGTGCGACCCATCTTATTCGAGATTGGGTTCGGTTCATCTGGTCTTGGTTCGAGTCGACCCATTTTGTTCGTCTGGTCTTTGTTCAAGTCGGTTGTGGTCAATCTCCCCTCTCACCAGACTCGCGATCTTGGTTTGCTCTTGTTCCTCTCAATCGATTGACTCCATCGGGTTCAGTCTCTCACGATTTGGCTTCGTAAGGTGGTTCTCTTTGTCGCGAAGGTCTCTCTCTCTCTCGCGACCTTTGTCTGACTCTAGCTTCTCCTTCTTGACTTCTCTCTTTGCTGCTGGTTCTGGGTATTTACACTTGAAGCCCTAATTTGTTTTATTTATACTTTGACCCATAACATTCTATAAACTTTGTTTTATTACATTGTCGAACACTAAAATCCAAGCCATCAAATGCAAACTCACTGGTGACAATTATGCCTATCGGGCCAGTGTTATGAAGACTTTTCTTGTTAGTCAAAAAAATAGGGCTATGTTTCGGGTTCTGTTCCTCGTCCATCGGACCCAAAGACGAAAATATATCTGACTTTCTGTGATACTTGGGATTGTGATAATGCCCAAGTTTTGACTTGGTTTCATAAGTCTGTGGATGATCATATTGAAATGATGTTTTCCAAGTACAGTACTGCCAAGGAGAGATAGGATTATTTACTAGGTGTTTATCAGCAATTCAACTTTGCCAAGCGGTATGAGTTGGAAATAGCTATGCAGAGTGCTCGTTAGCGAGATCAGACTATTCAGGACTTCTATATTGAGATGACAGGTCTCTGGGATCAGTTGGCTCTTATGGAACCACTTAGTCTCAAGATACTGGACGCTTATATTGAGTTTCGAGAGCAGGGTTATTTAGTGCAGTTCTTAATGGCTCTCTTCGCTTAGTATGAGGCTATCTGAGGTGACATCCTTCATCGATCTCCTCTTCCCCCTGTGGATGCTATTGTTCGTCAGTTCCTCTCTGAGGAAACCTGTCTTAAGACGACCAATCAGACTTTGCCTCCCTCTGTCTTCTTGGCTCCTGCTAAGCCTCCTTTATTATCGATTTCACCTCCTCATTAGCTTTAGGCCACTGCGAAACCCAAGAAAGGACCATTAGATCCATATAAGTGTGCTTTTTGCCATCAGAGGGGTCATTGGAAGAACAACTGTCCCAAGAAGGGATGTCAACTTGCTCCATCTTCTCAAACACAGTTCCACAGTCCTACTCCTAGTAGTTTTCGACCTCCTACCGCTTATACTACATCTACTCCGGCTCCCGATCTTGACTTGGCTTCCTTGAGTGCTCAGATTGCACAACTTCAATATATCCTGTCCATCTCTTAGCCATTCCCATCTGCCTCTGCTCTTACCTCTCTTTATTTAGGTTTGCTTGGATCCTCTTCAGGTATCCCTTCTTTTGTCTAGCTTTTTGATTCTAGTGCCTCTCATCATATGACTCCTTACATTTCCTTACTTCAAAACTGTATTCCCCCGCCTATTCCTATTACTATTAATATTGCTAATGGGTTTGGTATGTCTGTTCTATCTATTGGGTCTGTCTTACCCTCTGCCATGTCTGTTGTTACTATTTCCTTTGTTCTTTATGTCCCTCAATTATCTATCAGTTTATTATCTATCAGTCAATTTGATGCTTCTGGTTTTGATGTTATCTTTTTCTCTTCTGTCTGTTGTGTGTAGGATCGGGTGTCCAAGAAGCAGATTGGAACTGGCCGTAGAGTTGGAGATCTTTGTATGGTGGAGCTTGCATCTCCCTTCATCCGCCTCTCCAGCTGCACTTTCTTCGTTTTAGTTAGATTCTTAGTTGAGTCAGTTTTACTTATGGCATTCTCGCCTCGGTCATTTGTTTGTTGATCGCTTACGGTCTTTAGCTCAGTTAGGATTGTTGGGTAAAGTTTTTCCTAGTCAAATTGATGAATGTTGGGGGTGTCAACTTGCCAAAATGTCAGCTTTACCGTATAATAAAAGTTTGTCTATTTTTGTTTCTTCATTTTCTTTTGTGCATACTGATGTCTGGGGACCCTCTCTAGTTCTTACTAAAAGGGGTTCTACATACTATGTGTCTTTTGTTGATGATTGCACCCACTATACTTAGGTTTATCTTATGACTCATAAATTTGATTTCTACCAAATATATTGTAACTTTTAGTCTATGATCACTACACAGTTTGGATCTACCATTAAATTGTTACAGTTAACTTAGGTGGGGAGTATTTTAAAACTGAGTTCTGTGAGTATCTGGCTAATTTAGGTACCATTCACCAAACTTCCTGTACTGACACATCAGTTCAAAATAGTCGTGTTGAGTGTAAACATCGTCATCTTCTTGAGACAGCTAGATCTCTTCTTTCTGTCTCTGTTTCGACGCCCTTTTGGGGGCAAGCCGTTCTTACAGCTGCTTTTCTTCTCAACCGTATACCTACCCCCTACTCTCTGGTCGTTCTCCTTATGAGGCTCTATTTTCCCAACTCCTCAATTACTCTCTCCTTTGTGTTTTTGGGTTTGCATGTTTTGTCCTTCTTCCTGAAAGATAGGACAAAACTTAGTGCCCGATATGTCTTTTTGGGATACAGTCTTACTCAGAAAGGCTATCGCTGTTACGATCCTGTTTCCCGCTGCCTTTATGTCTCTTACCATGTTGCCTTCCTAGAGCGTCTAGCTTATTTTCAGCTTCCTCCTCTCATTGCTCCGTTTCTAAAGAAGATTTGGTTCACATTGATCCATTTCCTTCTGAGGTCCCTCTTGATGAGTACATCTCTATTGTTCCCCATGAACTTGTTCCTTCTTCTCTTCCTACTACACCTTTTGCTGAGTCCCTCTCCACTGTACCCCATGAGTCTATTCCATCCTCTTCACCTCCTCCCTCGTCTACTCAATTCTCCTCTTCTGTTGTTAGTCTATTTTTGTCGCAAGGCTCTCCCTCTACCAGTTGTCTCTGCCCCTGTTGCTGATTCTCCTACTTCTGACGACCCTGATTTGGCTAATCGTAAGTATCCCTTTCGCGTTTGTAAATAGGTAGTCAAACTTGGTTTTGCTAAAACCTATTTTTCTCCTTCATATTGTACGTTTTTGTCTACTATTTACTCTTTTTCAGAACCTCAGTCTTACAAGGAGGCCTGTTAGGATCTTAATTGGATTCAAGCTATGGAGGATGAGTTATCTACATTATAAAAGACTAGTACTTAGGAGTTGGTTCCTCTGCTTGTTGGCAAGAATCTGATTGGTTGCAAATGGGTCTATAAAGTCAAGACTCATTCTGATGGTTCTCTTGAGCGCTATACAACTCGCCTGGTTGGCAAAGGTTTCTTATAAGAATATGGTATTGATTATGAGGAGACTTTGCTCCTGTTGTAAAGATGACTATTGTCCGTACTTTGATCTCTGTTGCTTCTGTTTGTCATTGGCCTCTTTATCAGATGAATGTTAAGAATGTTTTTCTTAATGGCCATTTCACTGAGGAGCGAAACCCAAGAAAAGACCATTAGATCCAGATAAGTGTGCTTTTTGCCATCAGAGTGGTCATTGGAAGAACAACTGTCCCAAGAAAGGATGTCAACCTGCTCCATCTTCTCAAACACAGTTCTACGGTCCTACTCCTGGTAGTTTTCGACCTCCTACCGCTTATACTACATCTACTCCGGCTCCCGATCTTGACTTGGCTTCCTTGAGTGCTCAGATTGCACAACTTCAATATATCCTGTCCACCTCTTAGTCATCCCCATCTGCCTCTGCTCTTATCTCTCTTTATTTAGGTTTGCTTGGATCCTCTTTAGGTATCCCTTCTTTTGTCTGGCTTTTTGATTCTAGTGCCTCTCATCATATGACTCATCACATTTCCTTACTTCAAAACTGTATTCCCCCGCCTATTCCTATTACTATTAATATTGCTAATGGGTTTGGTATGTCTATTCTATCTATTGGGTCTTTCTTACCCTCTGCCATGTCTGCTGTTACTATTTCCTTTGTTCTTTATGTCCCTCAATTATCTGTCAGTTTATTATCTATCAGTCAATTTGATGCTTCTGGTTTTGATGTTATCTTTTTCTCTTCTGTCTGTTGTGTGTAGGATCGGGTGTCCAAGAAGCAGATTGGAACTGGTCGTAGAGTTGGAGATCTCTATATGATGGAGCTTGCATCTCCCTTCATCCACCTCTCCAGCTGCACTTTCTTCGTTTCAGTTAGATTCTTAGTTGAGTCAGTTTTACTTATGGCATTCTTGCCTCGGTCATTTGTTTGTTGATCGCTTACGGTCTTTAGCTCAGTTAGGATTGTTGGGTAAAGTTTCTCTTAGTCAAATTGATGAATGTTGGGGGTGTTAACTTGCCAAAACGTCAGCTTTACCGTTTAATAAAAGTATGTCTATTTTTGTTTACTAAAAGGGGTTCTGCATACTATGTGTCTTTTGTTGATGATTGCACCCACTATACTTAGGTTTATCTTATTACTCATAAATTTGATTTCTACCAAATATATTGTAACTTTTAGTCCATGATCACTACACAATTTGGATCTACCATTAAATTGTTACAGTCTGACTTAGGTGGGGAGTATTTTAAAACTGAGTTTTGTGAGTATCTGGCTAATTTAGGTACCATTCACCAAACTTCCTGTACTGACACATCAGTTCAAAATAGTTGTGTTGAGTGTAAACACCGTCATCTTCTTGAGACAGCTAGATCTCTCCTTTCTGTCTCTGTTTCGGCTCCTTTTTGGGGGTAAGCCATTCTTACAGTTGCTTTTCTTCTCAACCGTATACCTACCCCCTACTCTCTGGTCGTTCTCCTTATGAGGCTCTATTTTCCCAACTCCTCAATTACTCTCTCCTTTGTGTTTTTGGGTTTGCATGTTTTGTCATTCTTCCTGAAAGATAGGACAAAACTTAGTGCCCGATATGTCTTTTTGGGATACAGTCTTACTCAGAAAGGCTATCGCTGTTACGATCTTGTTTCCCACTACCTTTATGTCTCTTACCATGTTGCATTCCTAGAGCGTCTAGCTTATTTTCAGCTTCCTTCTCTCATTGCTTCGTTTCTAAAGAAGATTTGGTTCACATTAATCCATTTCCTTCTGAGGTCCCTCTTGATGAGTACATCTCTATTGTTCCCCATGAACTTGTTCATTCTTCTCTTCCTACTACACCTTTTGCTGAGTCCCTCTCCACCGTACCCCATGAGTCTATTCCATCCTCTTCACCTCCTCCCTCGTCTACTTAATTCTCCTCTTCCGTTGTTTTTGTCGCAAGGCTCTCCCTCCACCAGTTGTCTTTGCCCCTGTTGCTGATTCTCCTACTTCTAACGACCCTGATTTGGCTAATCGTAAGTATCTCTTTCGCGTCTGTAAACAGGTAGTCAAACTTGGTTTTGCTAAAACCTATTTTCTCCTTCATATTGTACGTTTTTGTCTGCTATTTACTCTCTTTCAGAACCTCAGTCTTACAAGGAGGCCTGTCAAGATCTTAATTGGATTCAAGCTATGGAGGATGAGTTATCTGCATTATAAAAGACTAGTACTTGGGAGTTGGTTCCTCTGCTTGTTGGCAAGAATCTGATTGGTTGTAAATGGGTCTATAAAGTCAAGACTCATTCTGATGGTTCTCTTGAGCGCTATACAACTCGCCTGGTTGCCAAAGGTTTCTTACAAGAATATGGTATTAATTATGAGGAGACTTTTGCTCCTGTTGTCAAGATGACTATTGTCCATACTTTGATCTCTGTTGCTTCTGTTTGTCATTGGCCTCTTTATCAGATGAATGTTAAGAATGTTTTTCTTAATGGCCATTTCACTGAGGAGGTTTACATGCATCATCCCCCTAGCCTTCACCATTCCTCGGGTCAGGTTTGTCGACTTTGACATGCTCTGTATGGTTTGAAGCAATCTCCTCGTGCTTGGTATGATCGTTTTCAGACAGCTGTTACTGAGCTTGGGTTTCATCCTTGTGCCCATGGCTCTGCATTGTTTTTCTTCCCTACCTCTGCTGGTTTTGTTGCCTTATTATTATTATATGAAGATCATATGATCATCATTGGTTCTGTCTCTTCTACTATCTTTGAGGTCAAGAAGCAAGCAGCATCTCTTTCGCACTTTCGAAATGAAGAATCTTGGACTATTGCGATATTTTCTTGGTATTGAGGTTGCTTCTTCTCCCAAGGGCTACTTTCTGTCTCAGGCCAAGTATGCTAACGAAGTTATCCATTGTGCCGGTCTTACTAACACTAGCTTTCTGAAACCCCCATTGAGCTTAATGTGAAGCTCAACACTACTGATGGTGTCCCTCTGGACGATCCTACGTTATATCACGAGTTTGTGGGTTGCTTAGTCTATCTGACAGTTACTCACTCTAATCTTGCTTATGTTGTCCATGTGATTAGTCAGTTTGTTTCTGCTCCTCGTTTTACACATTGGGCTACTTTGATTCGGATTCTTCGCTATCTTTGCAGTACTATCTTTCAGGGCTTGCTATTATCTTCTACTTCTTCCTTAGACTTGGTGGCCTATGCTAATGTTGATTGGGTTGGTGATGTTAATGATCGTAAATTCACTTCTGGTTTCTGTATGTTTCTTGGCGATTCCCTGATTTCTTGGAAAAGTAAGAAACAAACTGTTGTTGGCCGTTCTATTGCCGAAGCTGAGTATCATGCTATGACTCATTCTACTATTGAAATTGTCTGGCGTCGTAGTCTTTTATTTGATTTGGGTGTCCTTCAATCTTCTCCGACCTCTCTCTATTGTGACAGCCACAATGCTATTTAGATTGCTCATAACACTATCTTCCATGAACGGACAAAGCACGTTGAGATTAATTGTCACTTTGTCCGTTAGCATCTGCAGTCTGGTTCTATCTCACTTCCTTTTATCTCTTCGACTCTACCACTTGCTGGCTTTTTCACCAAGACTCACACCACTGCTCAATTTCTGTTTCTTCTTGACAAACTCTCAGTGTTTTCTGCTAACACACCTTGAGTTTGAGCAAGGGTGTGAGAATATTGCCTATATTCGGTTTCTCCTTTTTCCTTTTGGGCTTAGGAATTAGAGTTCTATGTGAGTTCTATATAAGTGATGTATTCTTTGTTTTATTGAATCAGTCTAATATATAGTTTTATTCAGAAAACTTACAAACCCTGTTAAAGTTCAGCTGGCATAGGGAATAAATAGCCTAAAACAAGTTGTAGGATTCTTGAAATAGGTTTATTCATCGAAAAAAAAGATTCTTGAAATTGGCTAAGTGAAATACTCTTGGTTTGTTCAGTCAAAGTGCATGGAAAGGGGAATTCATAACTTATCCCATGTATGTCAGGATTTCTTGTGACCGTTGACTAGGGTGAGTGAGAAGTCCAAGACCTGTTATCAAATAAAACAGTTTACATTGTACATTAGAACAGATTAAAAAAAAAAAAAAAGGTCTACCTTTTGACATGTGCTATGATTTGCTAAAGTACTTATTTTTCCAGTGCAATAGTGATATTAACACGTGTTTTAATGGAGCATGTTTACTTGTATGAGAAAGCTTATGTAATTGTTATTACTCTTCCATCATTTTTTGCTACTTTTCATATTCAAAGGCCAATCTCTGATAATTATTGCTGAGTTATTAATGTTTGAACTTTGCAGATATCAAGTGAGGAAGCTATTGAAACTGCCAAACTTCTTGCATTGAAAGAAGGTTTGCTGGTAAGAACATAATTTTCAATATTATTCAACTGTGGGTCTTACAGACATTTTTATATCGCTTTCCTCTCTAAAAATTACGGAACTCTAAGTTCATGTCTTAGGTTTTTTTTTTAGATCTCAAGTTTGATGGTGCTTATGGTAACATGTATTGTAGGTAGGAATATCATCTGATGTTGCTGCGGCTGCCGCAATTAAGATAGCTAAGAGGCCAGAAAATGTTGGAAAACTCATTGTTGTATGTTTGATTTTCTGCATACAAGTTCAGCTTTGCTGTTTTGTTATGTCATTTGTGTATATTTTGTTCTCAATTGGGCAAATTTTAATGTACTAGAAGATATTGCATCGTAATTTGGCAGAACACAACATTGGACAAATCTCAGAATTTTAACCACCTACAAATATTCTATTGTTTGTTTTTGACAGGTGGTGTTCCCCAGCTTTGGAGAGCGTTATTTGTCATCTGTGCTGTTTGACTCCTTGAAGCGTGAGGCAGAGAATATGACTTTTGAACCCTGAGATTTTTCCTAGCTTTAGAAAGGTGATAATATGTCAAGTTTTTAAGGTTGCAATGCAGTTTTGTTCTGGGCACTTTTGCTTTGGTTCTTACTGGTTTTTAAATAAATCTTGTGAGTATTACTAGTTTAGTTGATGTTTGTGTTTGCAAGAGGGTATGTTGGCTGGATTTTGGTCTCAGCTCTATAATTTGAAATAAAACAAAAGTTTGATGCTTAGAATATGCTCAGAATAATTTTTTTCCCTAATATATTTAGTTAATGAGAAATGAAAGTTGAATTGCTAGTATATTATTATTTGCTTGGGTAAAGTATATTGAAATGGTCAATGCTATTTTGATATAAAGAAATTTAGCTTGACAACTTGTAGTACAATCAAAGATAGAGAGGACACTATTTGCTCCCTAATTGTGCCTTTGCATTAAGAGAACCAATATTTTGCACAAAATTGCCAAAAGCTCCTGTAGAGGAGTTATGTTTATGTTTGGATTGGATCGGGAATTTATTAAGGGGAAGAAAAATGGAAATATACATAGGATAAATTACATTTTCACCCCCATAGAGTATGATTCTTTTCTCACTTTGGTCCTTGAAAAAAGATTCTTACTTTGATCTCTAACTCTCCATTTTTAGTCCAAATTCCAAAAATGGTGCCATAAGAACTTTCACTTTCCTTTACTCTCCTATTCTCTTCCCTCCTTTGTGCACCTTTTCATCCCAATCCACAACTGACCACCTCGCTCCTAACCTACTACCTGATCTCTTCCACTAGCCTCAACACTTCAACTTGCAGCCTCTTTACTTGAATGATGCATACCTGTTTTCATTTTCGTGCACCTATATAAAGTTGATTTTCGAGATTAGTTGAATTTAGGGGTGGGGATGGTTTTGAGATTATGTTAGGTTTGGTTTTATGGACCAAAATGGGAAAACTTAATATGTTTAATGACCAAAATGAGAACATAATTTGTCAGGGATGGAATTGAAAATTTTGTAACTTTTAAATTGTGATAATTAGAACAAAGTGAGAAACAATAAATAATTACAGATCAGTATGAGAAATAACTCATGCTCACACAGCTTTGCCGAATTCTCCTCTCTTCGGGAGATTGACATGTAAAATATATTCAACATTAATGCAAATCCATTCAAGCTCAACTCATAAATATAGAACTAAGTTTGGATAGGGGCCGCACGAAAGTAGGCCCCCATTGCCACAAATGATGCCATAGGCTCTGCCACTTGGACAGTCCTTAGGTGAGCGTCCCCCCCTAAGTGCAATGGAGGTCACTAACCTAGGCCATGGGCCTCATTGATCACCCATTTGACCCGCCCAGGTAAGTATGTTTTAGTGATGCTGCCAAGTCCTTATCTATTGCCTCACAATTGCCTCTCCTGCTTCACGTTTGTTCAATGTGGGAATGACGGCAATGTCTTGACATGGAGGTTGTGCCTTGAAACTTCTAAACAACATGCAAAATGTTGGTTTTACAGTTTTTGAGATGATTAATCATCAAATAGATTCCTATTCCATCTAGTAGATAGTTTTATTTGCAAGATTCCCTCTACTAAATTTTACTAAATCTTTTTGGCAAAATTCATCTATCAATGAACAAATACATATAAGAAATTGAGTTTTCTTATCCTTTACTGTGATGTATCTTTTTCGTGAAATTACTTTCCCATCAAAACTCTTGACAAGTGTGACAAGTGAACGGAGCCTAATGTTGTGAAAAACTCGAGTACTTTATGAATAATACTGTTTTCATTATATTTTGCCCATTGATAATTAAAATAGCAAAACATAACAGAAGCCCCATATAGAATAATGTCTAGCATGACAGTTAGTAGGCTTTCCCTGGGAGGCTATTGATGATCAAATAAGAAATCTTTTTATTTTTATTTTTATTATTTATCATTTTGAAAAACTCCCTCAAAACTTGTTGTGTAGTGCGACATACATTGTGCGATCTTTTTCAATCCCAATGTATACTACTGAAGTAATGATTGTGAAGCCTAAGCACAAAGAGCCAATTCAAATGCCATTTTTTTGGTTATGGATCTTTTCTCCCCGTCTCAAATTATATATAAGTCATAATCAATGGAACATGTGAGAATATTGAGACAAAATATTTAAGGTATAATCAAACGACTATGTTGATGTAACGTCTCAAAATTTTGGAATATCAAGGAAAATTAAATAAATAAAATAACTTATTAAGTTAAAAATTTAACATTTTAATTAGATATTGCAACTCTTATACATGACCAAAGGTTCAAACAACACTAAATAAAAAAATAACAAAATAAAAACCTTAAAATTTCCAAATACAACATTAAATGAAATCACAAAGTCCTTAATTGTTAATATATAAGATTATAAAATTTTGTTCGGCTCTAGTCATAGTTTCAAATAAGCCAAAGCTCTATGTTAACATCAACTCCATTCATTTCTTGTTAAAATCTGGCATAAAACGCCAGGGTAACAAAAATATATGCCATAAGCTTTTCAGCATAGAAAGAAAACACAACAAACTTACTTTTCTTTTTACGAGAAAAATAACGAGATTATAAGTATGATATAACAATATAATTGCAAACATAAATTACAACTATTAAAATAATTTCAACAATTTTAATAAATTAGGTGACACTTGAAATCTCACCAAAGAGATTTAACTTACCAACTACTAAGCCATCAACCACTAAGCCATAGCCACGATTAATTTAAAATCCCCCTTGGTTAAATAATTACGTGTTACAAATTGTGACTACCAAGGATGGCCACGCCCAGAGTTACATAACCAAGTAGTGGTTTTCGTAGTTTGCCCCAAGAGAATGGTCTGTCAGGGGTACGTATCCTCCCTGTGTGCCACCCGCACATCCACCCTTATTCCAAAACTGAATATTGATAAGGGTTCAAATACGTCCTGTGCCATCTTAAGGTTTTGGACAAGAATTACATAAAATTAGGACTCATCCTGAATAACTGGTATTAACTGTCAACCATTAATTTCGTACCTCCCGTTGATCATTTTAGTTAATTTCCATAATAATCACTAATAATTACAAAATTAGGTCACCATCGATGTTATAGCATTTTACTACAATTTCCAAGAGAATATATTAACAATTACGTTCTACAATAATCAATCAATGTACATATTATTGTAAATAGTTAAATCAAGCCATAAGGTGAAATAATAATTTTAAATACTAAAATAAATCACAACATCACACAGCATGAATTAGTAATTTACAAGATTCAATTAAGTAAACTAGAACAACACTTATTTTAAATTCTAATAAATAATTGAAATGGTAATCTTTGATTCTTTTAATATTCTGCCTAAAAATTTTTGAACTTAAATTTCGTAGTTAAAATTACAAATAAATTATTTAGACAATTCTAAAATTCATATAATTTTCAGGAATGTTCAACAAACATATTATGTCATTTTTCAAAAATAATTTCCCGAAAATAAATTATAAATAATTTTATAAAATTACAAGAAGTTACATGACACAGATTCATTACATTTTCTTAAAATAATTCCATACGGAAATTTAAAAATCAAATTCATAATATAAAAATTGAGGATGAAACTTGACTTCTCAAATTTAATTTTTAACTCAGAAAATACTAGATCTGGTCTAATATAGGATTTTTAGTGATTTTTCAAACATGAAGCATAATCTGTCTAAAAATCCAGATTGAATTAAAATTCCATATAAATTCATACAAAAATAAAATAATTGGATGATCTAAACATCATTCTTAACAACTTTGTAGAAGAAACTATCACGAAATTTTGAGTATAAAATTGTCTAAATATTTGTACAAACTTCTAGCAGATTTAAGAATCATATGATCAAATCAAACAAAATCCTAATTTATTTATTAAATATCACAAATTACACATGCAAGCCTAAATTCAAGATTATATTATGATTTTAATACTACTAATATATAAATAATCTTCAAACATCTAATATATATATATATATATATCACAAATTTACATGTAACTACAAACAAAGTTCAATCAAGATTTTTTTAGGGCTTATTAGTATTTGAATATAATATGAAATTGAATAAAAAGAATGAGAGGGTTTTGAAATGTGACAATCTAGAATTTTTCCTTCCGCTCGAGCGAAGGAGTTGACGCTCGAGTGGACTTGTGAGGCTCCCAGTATTTTGGCAGGCTGCCTGAGATTCTGAGAGTTGTAAATTACCGCTCGAGCGTAGAAGTGGTCGCTCGAGCGGACGACTTTGTTGGTCTGCGCGCTTGAGCGCAGGGTTGGGCGCTCAAGCAGGTCGCCTGGTTGAGTTTGAATTTCTGAGGCATGTGGGTTTGTTTTTGACATTTTATTAGTATATTTGGAACCTACTTATTTTTATTTTGGGGCATCGATTGAGGTGGTAACATAATGGTAGAGTAAGATTGGACCATAAACTTTAATTTGAATAATTTGTCTACGATCAGCCGTCACTCTTTTGCCCTTTTCTTTTTCCACACTTTGAATTTGGGTGTGAGGTTGGAACCATTGGAAAGCTTGTTTCTGGGGCTTCAATTTGGACACAAGAACGACCTAAAACGGAGTCCGGATGAGAGAGTTACGCCTGTTTGAAGTTTCAGAATCTGTGCTGGAAGCAGGTGCGCTCGAGCGGGAAAAGGGATGCTCGAGCGGACTGCGCGAGTTCAGCAGCTTAAAAACGTGATTTTTAGATCATTTCTTACATTTTCTTTTCCCCTCTTCTTTCCTCTCATTCTAGGTCCGAAAACCTAGCCCTAAAAACCTTGATTTCCTCCAATTTTATCAACAAATCCACCATGGATCTTGCATCAAGGATGGAGAACAAGAGAAGATCAACATTTTTCAACCGATTGAAGCTCGGATTTGTGACGGATTCTCATCAAAGCTTCGCTCCTTTGCTTGATTCTTGAGGTAGGAGTTCTTGTTCTTCCTCAATACTTTCATTAATAGATAGATTTGTGGTAT